AATAAGTGTGCTCATAAGGATTTTGATATTTTAAGCAACTGGGCTAGAAAGAGGAAACAGCTTAAGTGCTAAGAAATGTAAAGTTATGTACTTGAGGTATGCTAATTTGGAAAGGACTTACTTCATTTGTTGAAGGAATATTGACGTCGTTGGAAAAGGAATGATTTTAGAGGGGATAGTTGATAGAACTCAAGCTATCAGTTGAATGTTTAGTTGTAGTGAATAGTGTGAGTAAAATTGTGGGTTGTATTGCAACGTGTAGACTTTCCTAGTGAATCGTTTCTAATGAATAAAAATGGGCCTTTTGACTTACCTAGGCTGTCTAATATTCTTCTACCTATCACCCTGCTCCAAACTTCATACAGAAACTTCTTTTCTCAATTCCAACCCTGATCTATAAAATACTCGTTCATTCTCTTCTTAGACTCCTCAGATGTTGCAACTTCTTCAACACCTGAAAGTAAACTGTTCTTCTGGCCAATCACTGTATTAGAAAACTAATTCTACTCAATAATCAACATGGTTTCACGAGGGGGATAGTCTCGCATTACTAATCTTTTTTGACGTTCTTCGAAGAGGTTACTGCATATGTAGACGAGGGTACAGGTGTGGATTTGGTGTATCTGTGTTTTCATAAAGCATTTCATGAGGTGCCACACAACAAATAAATCTCTACAGGTGTGGGGGATAAGTTTGCTTGTTGCACTGAAAAATTGATGGAAGGCAAGGAAGCAGAAGGTTATCACAAATGGAGTTCTGTCTAACTGGATTAATATTATAACTCAATTATTTATACATACTGCATAGTCATAGTGGTACTTTGTTATATTCACGTAGAACATTTTTTTTTTTAAACCAGTTACTGACTTAGAGAATACAACATTATTGGTCAGATATACATTGAATCACTTTCTAAACAAGGATGTAATCCCAGTTTCCCTTTGAACGGAATTTCTTATTTTGATGTTTGTCAGCAGCGTTAAGCAAATAACACCTTATGCCATCTTCATGTAAACCACTGCTTTCTTCAAACCATGTGATAACGTCTTTAAGATTAGATTGTGCTTTCTTCAGACTGACTGGCTCAACGGATGTATCACCTCCAATGTCGCCAAACTCTAGAAGAGATGCGATGAAAGTGATATTTTCATCTAACAACTCTTGACCACTTGGTTCTGCTGAGTTGACGAAGAGCCACTGAAAAGTTGACATAGGCTCGTTAATAGCTGCAGCAATTCTGTTTCGATTGGCACCTGCTGCTTCACCTTCCAACTTTGTCTTCTTAACTCCAACACGTCCTTTGAAACATTTCAGACATCCTCTGGAATATCCAAACTCTGTTACACTAAGCCGTTGTCCAAGTTTATTAGCTTTCGTAATAAGCATCTTGTCACTAACATGCACATTTCTTGATGTAAACATCATGCACCCGAAGATGCTTGTTCCAAGGTTACATTCAAAGCATGTTCATTGACCTAAATTGTCTGGAATATTTATCCACTTTTTCTTTGTTGTGAAGAATGTGAGATATGGTTGACTTGCCCAAGAGAGCATTTTCAAAACTTATATGCCTACTGATGATATCAAGGCTTACCCTTTGATTTGTTTTTCCTGTGTAAAAAAACATCATGCTGATAGTTATACACATCTTTGTTTTGGAGCATGTGACATCACATGACTGTAGCATAAATCACTGATGACCTCTAGATGTCTGTTACAGTTTATATTTGCATCTTTACTGTGAAGGTCACTCAGAACAATTGTTGAAACTGGTACCTGCCAGTTAATGCATGTTTTGTGGTCAGCAGTTATTACATCAATTCCTGTTCTGATCGACCCCTTAGTTGTCTCTTGTAGAGCTAAGTGTGGATTGCCGAATCATGTATCTGTAGGAAATGCATGTTTGTTATAAGAAATAGTTGGATTATTGATTGAATTTTCCATCGTTAAGATTTGTCTATATGAAAAATCATTCAGATTGTTGATTTATGGACTTAACAAAGGTTTGCTGTAGTAGGACAGATAGTATTTTGGTTCACATTTACAGAAATATTGAATGTAAGTTTTAAAATGTTATCATTTCATTGTATAGGTCACTGGTTATGCCTTATTTGGAGCATTGTGTTCAGTCTTAGGCTCCTTATTTTAAGGACATTGAATTGTTGGAAGAGATGTTACTAGGATGTTACATGGGATGGAAATGTTATATGAGAAGAGAAAAAGATCTCTGAAATTGTTTTCTTTCTAGAAAAAAAGAAGAGTTAAACAGGATATAATTAAGGTGTTCAAGATTACTAATGGAATTCATAATCATGATACACCCTTTTATTATTTAACAGTGAGAATAGTAGGATCCAGTTATGTATTGAGTAGATTCCTATCTATATTGAATGTATGATCCAAATTATGATAACCAAAAACCATTACTTTATACTTATTTGGATTAAAGATATATTACCAAATATTGGCACAAATTATTTTTGTAATACTTAAACATTCTCAGTACATATAGAAATGCTCAAGTCTTCTTTAATATCACCAGCAAACTTTGCTAATTATGCTCTTTTCAGTATTCGTAATGTAAATAAGAAAAAGCAAAGGCCCTAAAAACTTTACTAGTAACAAGTGTCCAGTTTTATTAGACTCCATTATTAGCAACCTTCTGCTTTCTTTCATCCAACCAACCAACAATCTAATTAACTAGTCTTTCCACAACTGCTAGTAATGTGTAGTGCCTTATCAGAAACATATTTTTAATCTAAGTATACTTAGTCCACATCCTTTCATTCATACAAATAACATGAAACATACTTGAAAAAAAAAAAAGGTGAAAGATTAGTAAGGGAAGATTTTCCTTTGACAAATCCATGTTGGCTTTTGTTCATGGTATTATATACTTCACAAAATTATTTTGTAAAGCTTCTTTTATCAGATCTTCCACCACAGAAATAAGACTAATTGGCCTTTAATTTACAGAGAAACTCTTATCACCCACTTTAAAAATAGGAGTAACATAAGTAACTGTCCAGTCATCAGGCATCTGACCATTTTCTCACCTACCAAAAAAAAAGAAAGAGAAAATGCTATCTTATTTGATCTTTG